GACTCGGAGCCGCTCGGTCACCAGGCCTGAGAGGGAAACCCCCCGGCTGGGACCCTCCTGGCCGCAAAAGTAATAATAATAATAATGATAACAATAGCAATTACAACAGCAGTAAGAATTACGGGCTGGGTGATGGCGGAAGGGAGTGGAGTCTGTGGATGCAGAGTCGAGAGCTGAACTTTAACCTGAGTATTTTCATTTCATGTCATTTCCGCCTTGGATTTCTCCTTGTGCCACCATGGCGAGGTTAAGTCTCTGTGCCAAGGGGCCAACCTCCTATAGAAGAGCCCAGGCTCCTATAGAAAGGCTCAAGCTCCTATAGAAGAGCCCAGACTCCTATAGAAGAACTCAAACTTCTAGAGAAGAGCCCAGGCTCTTATAGAAAAGCTCAAGCTCCTATAGAAGATTTCAAACTTCTAGAGAACAGCCTAAGCTCCTAGAGAAAAGCCCAATCTGCTGTAAAAGAGCCCAGGTTCCTATAGAAGAGCCCAAGCTCCTCCCTCTCTTGGCAGGCACTGAGCCAGGATGGGTTTCGCTGAAGACAAAGTGTACGACTACATTATGAAAAACCTCAGACACTTCAAGAACATCCGCGTGGCGTCTCTGGCCGATTCCCTGAGCTGCCTGACCGACGAGGACAGAGTAATTCCCTGCTTTCCCAAGTCTTGCCGGGTCCCTTCCCGAATAAAGAGCTCAGGCAACGTATAGCTGCCTTACCGCTAAGCTGGCCCCTCTCTTAGACCCTCCCTGTGTTTTATTTAGGATGAACTTCACTCCCGGGAGGAGACACGGGGCAGCCACGCCACCGTCTATAGGTTTTACCAACACCTGAAGTGCCGGAAGGACTGGGTGCTGGATCTCATCGAGGCCCTGCGCCACAACAACGCGGGGCACCTGGCCGACGAGCTGCAGCACGTGTACGACTCCTACCAACCCCGTACGTCACCTCCTCGTCTCTGGGTGTTGCCGCGGGCGTCTGCTGGAGTCGGGGACCTGAACGACAGTGTTCTGTTGTCCGCAGAGCAGCTGGCCTCTCGCCCTGCTCCCGCTCCCCAGGGGGCTGTGACGATCCTCAGGGATGTCCCTCACCTGGGGATGGCGGGGTCAGTGTTTGATGGTCCTTGGGTTGGCGGTGAGCTGCGTTTCTTGCCCTGAGGGGAACTGGAAATGTGAATTAAGGAGTGCTTGGCTGATGTGGGGACAGAGCAGAAGCATGCGAGGGGCTCCCTCAGCCCCACACTCGTTCTCTGTCTCCTCGGCTTTTCCCCCGATGTCCCTGC